GTAACAATCACGGCCGGCGCATTACTACGGCGCTCCGTCGTCGACCTCCAACTACCCTCACTACCTTGGACACCTCTACTCAATTTCCCTAAGAAGGCAATCCAGCCAAGGGCATACTCCAGCAATCCTCCTTTCGCCATCCCAAATCCCGTCTTATTACCCTCCGCATCGTCCCAAAGATTCCTGGAAATACGTCCCTTCGCCATTCTCGGAAGGTCGCCAACTCCACCTTTGCAAAAACAGGGCAGTGTGACGACTGCTGCACTTTCAGCATGGAAAAGGAATCTACACTGCAGAACTTGTAGAGTCCTTCAAAATAAAATTCCTGGAAACAAACGGAGCAAGAGTTCTTTCAGCAATGGGCCGACACCTCAGGACAAACCAAGCGTCTCCGCTCCCAAGGCGGAGTCATCACCCAACCCTCAACCTGCCGAAACTCCAGAAGGGCTTCCCAAGTCCCCTCCTGTTACACCACATGCGCCCAGCAAACCCCTTTTAGAGCGACTGCCCCAGTCCCTTCCGCACTTCCACCGACCCACCAAAGCAGAACTTCTGGAAGCAGCGACAGGGTTCTGGTCCCGACTAAAAGTGCATTTCAAATGGCTTACAATCAGAAGTGTTCGTCCTTTCAACATGGACGATATCAGCGCATTTTTCTCGTGGATACTCGTGGGCCATGTTATTTGGATCATCGTCGGAACTACTACGTTTTTCTCGCTCACCATATTCTTAATTAACACCGTCTTTGCTCAAGGTACAATCACGCTCCCAGGTTTCGGTGATTGAGGTTGCTGATATTTGTTCCAGAGACCCTCGCGAAATGGATCGGAAACTATCTCACAAAATCGTCCGGCCTAAAGGTCGTCTTCGAGTCTGCCATTGTACCAAAATGGAACGACGGAGTGATCTCCTTCAAGCGCGTGTTTGTTTCAAGAAGGCCGGGGCAAGGGCAATCTAATGTTAGTAAGGGCTCGCAAATGTCTGCGGCCGCTGCCGCTGCCGCCATAGCACAGAAGGAGCGGGATATCGCAAATGGAATACATGAAGAGGAAGATACAAACTACTCCCAGTTCGATTTGTCGATAGACACAGTCAATGTGACGCTGTCCTTTACAAAATGGTTCAATGGTAAAGGACTACTAAAGGACGTCGAAGTCAAAGGGATACGCGGTGCTGTGGACAGAACTTTCGTTCATCCTCCGAAGGAATATGTGGATCCGAGGACGTACAAGCACGAACACCAGCCGGGAGATTTCGAGCTAGATTCTTTCAAGATGGAAGACTTGCTGGTTACGGTTTACCAACCTAACAACTTCCGGCCATTCTCCATTAGTATTTTCTCGTGCGATTTGCCGCAGCTGCGCAAGCAATGGCTGTTCTACGACTTTCTTTCTGCCAACATGATGTCTGGCTCCTTTGATAACTCTTTATTTACAATACATCCTCGGCAAACTCATAACTACACAGGAGCTCAATTGATCGAGGGGCGTGAAACAGAAGATGGCACGACCTGGAAAAAGCATAGCCGTATCAGAATCGACGGGCTCAATATCGATCATTTGAACAGAGGCTACGAGGGTCCATTTTCGTGGATTCACGAAGGCAACGTCGACATTGTAGCGGACATTATGATTCCGAATGAGAATGATGGCAGCATTGTCAAAGTCATGTCGGACTTTTATGATCGTGTAGAGGCCACTGTGATCTCCAATGGGAATCGTCAAGCTATGGAAAACTCCGAGGGCAGAGAGCAAAACGGCTTACAGAAATCATCAGAAATGTTAGCTGAAAAGGACGACAGCAGGTTCATTATCATGGATCTTCGAGTTCATTTCAACGATGTGCGAGCTGCTGTGCCAATTTTTACAAGAGACATTTCCTACGTTAACAATGCACTTGTCAGACCCATTGTCGCATATATCAACTCGAAAAAGACTTTCATCCCGGTCAATTGTCGAGTCGTCAAGCGAGCCTGCGAGTTCGACGGCAGCTGGACTATTTACGACAGTGGACTGATGGACGACTTGTCCCGCGAGGTAAGGTCACCACTGAAACAATCGTGCCCTACGCTTTACTGACTCCATCAGATGTATGATGCTTTTGCACGCGATGCCCTTGATGATAATACCGCCAGAAAACGACGTTTCAAAAAAGTAGGGATATGGACCCTTCAACTTGCTGCTCAAGCACTTTTTATTGGGCTGGCTGGAAACATAGCATAGTGCACTGTAATAATTGTATCATATTATTTGGAGTTTGGACTGGGAGTAATGACCGGGATGGTTATTACTGTTACACCGCATGCCGACAGGCTTTTGAGTTCTGGAGCAGGTTAGAATTATTGAGAATGCCTTTTTATTTCACTCTTGTATCATATCATCTTGCACACGATGGATCACTATGGTGATCTCGCCAAAATAAGGATAATCGTAAGACATCTCACGAATGATTCAAATGCCTCGCACCATGTGTTCGGGTCTGGCGGTTTAGTTAGAGGCATTGATGACCCGAGTGAACGAAATCTGAAGAACTCATCTCCTTTGTAAAATCGGTATGTGTGCGTAAAAAGTTTACGCGATCGCCTGAAAGCTGAGAATAAAATCCTGCTGCATTCCGGGCTTGTTCAGAAGTCGACTCGGCAGCGATCTTGTTGGGGGGAGCAGGATGGCTCTCCTTTGAAGCATAAAATAATCAATTGATTCTCCTGTAATGTTATAGTTTCACCAAGTTTCTCCAGGCCCTCCCGCAATCCAATCGGTTCAGCCTCTCTATTCAAATCTTCACCCTCTACAGGCTTTCGATGATTGTCCATTCCTTCAGCAGCTTTCCGCTCGCATGCTCCAGCCAGAGTCCTAGCCAGTCATCCCCTGTGCCACGCAGACGGACATGGTCTAGAAAGTCGAAGGGCATCCCCAGACTATTAATAACCCATGCAGTGAAGTGCCATTCATCATCGCCTAAGCATAGTCGAGCGTATTCGAGATGAGTATGCTGCGAATATGTCGAGTTATACTCTCAGTCCTCAGAAGATGCATTTGTAGCCAATGAGCTACAGTCAACCTTCGGGATATGGAAAGCACATACCGGCTCCCGTGCAACATGTAGCGCAGGGCCCGAGGTGGGTATGTCAGGGCAGAGTGGTGATTAGGATGGTAACAGTGACGACGCAGTTCACGAGCAATGATCGCAAACCCCACATGGGGGGAGCATTCAAAACCTCAACTTCGGCCCAACAAAGACGATGAGAAAAGCCAGAACCCACAGGCCGAATATCATGCCATACAACTTCAGCCTGGCTAACCAGCCCTTGCCCTCGGTCATGCGCCTCAGGGTTCCCATGCGCTGGCCTGCTGCTTCCATGCCAGCAGCATTCTTATCCAAGCCCTCCACGGCACGGTCTAAGATTGATTTCTCAAACTCGAGTGAGCTGCCGAATTGCAACGATTTGGATTTTAGTTCCTGCGCCGCGGAGAGAAGGGAGGTTGTCAAGGCTTCCTGCTCGGTGCGGTTATGGGATAGCAAGGACTCTGTTTGGACGAGGGAGGCATCCTGGCCTAGTTTGTGTGACTGGGAGAAGAGCGCCGAGCTTGTTGTTGCAGCTGCGGACGGCTGGGCTTGGGGTTTGCGAGATCGCAGTGTGGAGCTTAGGTTCGCGGCTGCTTGTTGTGGCGCAGGATTGGAGGGGCTCTGCACTTGGTCGATGGTGTCGAATGTATGGTGGGCGGCGGGTGCGTATGAGGGGAAGAGGTCATCGTTTTCGGCATCTGATGAGGAAGCCGAGGAGGTGGTGCTATCGTCGTCGAGTTGATTCAGTTCGTACAGACGTTGGTTGAGCTGTTTAAGAAGGGCGCGTTTGGATTGGAGGGATGATTGCACAGCTTGCTTGCGGGTGCTGTCATGTTCAAGTTTTAGGAGCAACGAGCGCGCGTATTCAAGGTTCTGGCCGACTTTGGTCCTTTCGTAGCTGGACTTGCGGAGGCGGGGCGAGGCGTCTGAGGAGAGGAGGGTATGTTCAAGGCGTGAGAGAAGTCGAGTCAGACTTATCGAAGCGGTATCGGGCTGTGGAAGAGTTGATCTCGAAGTCATGTTGAGCTGAGCTTGGGGTATGATGATGAGTAAGGAGCGAGAAAGGAAGATCCTATCTTTGGCTTTGTGCTGTTTCAATAGAATACTGGCAATGGTCGTGAGAAAGTGTATGAGGCACCAAAATACGGTGCCGGTTACGTATTGTCGGTTACGTTGCTGGAGAAATTAGTCGCATGGTAAGTTACAACACCGTATTTTTGGAGTTTCAAAGCCTGATATTTCACGGACTCCTAAGCTACGCGCCAATCAACTAATCAAGCTGGATGTCGCCGAAATTTTCTTCTTCAGAACATCTCTGTCTGGAACTCGAGCAAAGCTGCAAGAAACGTCCGGCGCCAAGGGATTGACACCCGCAAGCCATAAGATAATGGACTGGACATTGGCTGTCCAATCAGAGAGCTGGAATATGTCCAGTCTCAGTCTCTCTTCCAGTTCACGCGGCCTTGCAACTCCCAAGCAGAATTAAGAGAGTACCCTCCATCTGGCCGCCATTCTAGGTTCACGGGTGAAAGGATCTCATCATGTCGGTCACAGGTTTTCGTTGCAACTTTGAGGCTCAACACTATCAATTCGTCACGATCCGCGTAGCTTGGCTACCCGTTGCGCGGCACGGGACGGCCAGGCGGTTTCTGTGCTGCATACTTTCTGAAAGCCTGTCCTGGAATGTTTCACTCCTGTCGTCGTGGTGCCTGGCGTATCGTGATACTAGTTCTTGCGGGACGCAGACCAAAAAAAGGGCCAAGCCGAGCCTGCAGAAGCGCAACACGGGGAAACGTGCGGATGGCTTCTGACACTTGAAGCCATTCAAGCTGTCTAGACTCCACATAACTTCTGGCCTTAAAGCAAACACTAAAAATACAGTACCAGGCGGAACCTTGGTCCGGCATACCTTTGAGCCAAAAAAAAGTGATGTTCTCCTCGACGGGGAATCGAACCCCGGTCTCTGTTATTAGTTAGTATTCTGTTAAGCAAGACTTGAATATTGTTGAACATACCCCGCGACTTGTTTGATGACAAGCGGAAATCATGACCACTAGACCATCGGGGACTTTTAGATGCGTTAATTGAAGATCAACAAAAATAAAATAAAATAAGAAAATTTAATTTTCAAATTTGACGCCCTTGTATGCTTGCGGGTCTAAAGCGGTGAAGTTAGTTTTGAATCTCAGAACATGTTTCTAAGAGCAATAATAGCTGTACTCAATATGAACAGGACAAGGTTATCCGAAACGCTGCTTGTATAGGTAACGTGGCCCGTATAGAGATAGGTTAGACTAGCGGCACAAAAGTTTTGTTACGGGGAAACTGTCATATACTATTGGTTCAAGTCATTTCGCCTAGCCTGCAACATCTTGCTCTCCGGAATTCTACGTCGTACGCCTCTCTATTTTTGAAGAGTTAAAATGAATTTAGTTTCTTACTCCATAGCCTTTAGAAAACAGTGTTCTAAATATCCTTAAACAAAGAATTAGTTATGCTGATGCGCAATTGAAATAATTTCTCTAAAGAACCTGTCCTTATGTCTTCCAATTCCTTTTCTCTCTTCTCGATCATTGGTTCACCCAAATGCAGCTTTGTCTGTACGTCGGCCAAGGTCTAGTAGTCATAATTTCCGCTTGTCAACCAACAAGTTGCGGGGTATACCCTAATGCAGCTTTGTCTGTATAGTGGACAAGGTCTATAACGCATGAATTCCCAAGGTTTCTTTTGCCACGTTGTTGCGATCAGCAAATCGGCTTCTCGCTTTCCTACCGCTGTTTCCGTGTTTCCAATATTCAGCACTACACGCTACAGTCGCAAGCGGAATCCGCTTCCGCCTACCGTACTCGTAGAATGTTTATCCCAACGTCTTGCCAAGCGCTTTATTATTAATATAGTTAGACCTCGAATACCCTAGAGGCTTTGCTTCAGGTAAGGACCCTACTACTCTAATTATAAAATACGCCTAACAAGTGTTTACTGTACTCTATTATATGTTAATCCGCAGAACAGGCGCTTGTAACTCAAACTAGGCTGTATGTTAGGCGCTATGTGGTTAGTCATCCCTGAAACAGGTTTTGCAAGACGGTGCAACTGTCCATATAAGTCAGTCTTTCAGAAGCCAATGACTGCATCAGGACATACTTTGGTGCCAAGTAGGGAGAGGAGGAATGAGAGTGCGTTGTACTCTTGTATATATCATGACACATGAGGAAGTACTTCGCTGATGAGGCTTTAATTGTTGCACAAAACCAGTGAACGGCAGCGCAAGCAACATCTGCGAGGCTAGCGGCCCGTGAAACTACAGCGCCCTGATGACACCACTCCATCCACCATGATCAATCCACTCATTTACCGTTAGCTCGACAGTCGGCTAACATTCGAAAGCCTCGATAGCTATCATGCCTGCGATACTGGATGATCTGACCGCGCCCGTCATCTATACGACGTCTGGTGATATACCGTATCTTACTCCTAGAGGCCTGTTGCCGCTGAGAATCGTACCTCGTCAAATCACTTCCCGAAAGTGCTATAATACGGCCACCTTACTATCTCCCAATCTTTCTCTCCTCGGCCCAAATGCCTCCTTAATCCGTACCTAGTGATACCGCTCGGCAGCGTCAGCATGCTTGGATCCGAACAGGTCAGAAACACATCAAAATGCTAGAGGTCCTTCTCCCTGGATACTTTCGAGACTTTTACGTCCTTTAACGGAATCTACATATGTCGAATAAATGTTACCTTAAGAAGGAAATTTAGAGTCTCGGATTATTACAAGGCTAACGTTTTGGTGATGGCGAATTTAGAAACATCTCAACTATCGTGGCACGGTGTGGTTATCTATATGGAGTCCCACACCGCCAACAGAAGAAGGGACGGATATGCCTTGATTGCCTTGAACCGCTTAGGCAGACGCACAATGATATTTGCACTGGCTCTTCGCTGGAACTTAATTAGCCAACCTCTTGGCTGCCGCCACGGCTCCGTAGAGAGCTGGGAGCCAGCAACGAGAGTATTTAGTGGAGGAGGGTGGAGGAGCAGGAAATACTTCTATCCGTTCAAGGTCTTATTGTCGCCCTTGTAATGGGCACACACGTAAAGGCTGGTTGTACAGGCCTCGAAGTCAATACCAGAGTCCATCCTCTTTACCACTGGTAGCGTCGGGTACACGAAGATTGAAGATAAATCATAGGGCAAAAAGGAATAGCCGCAAGCACACTGATTTTGTCAACAACGTGCTCTAGCAGTCGATACGTTAAAAAGAAGAGCAAAGGAGAGTAAAAGGCGGATGAATTTGCTCTGCAAAACACTATCCAAAATCTAACACTGAACAAAAGAAGCAGAAAATTCCCCAAAAAAATTAACCCCCAAAGCGCTAGCTGCTATTAATCTAACTCACACCAAATGGAATGCGTTTACTCATGCTTGACCCTTGTCCGGCATTTCCGTGGAGCCCCATTTCTTGATCGTGCCATACTGCTTCACCGGAACAGGATCTCTCTTCGCAGATCCGCCTCGCATGGAGTTAGTATCCGCGTCAAAGCACGCTGTCTTGATCTTGTCCGAGCACAGTGGCCAAAGTCGCTTCTCATCCATGTCACAGAATAGGCCCTCCTTCTCAGACACAACGTCTGGTCCGTAAGAGGTCTCGCTCTCGCACAGTTGGCGAGCCGAATGCTCAATGTGCGAGCTCGAGATAAGCGTGTTCTTGAAAGCTTCAGACCTACGATAACTGACCCTTTCGCCCCTCTTAGTTTTGGTAGGAGTGGGCGGTGTAAAGGGCAGACGGACCGGTCTGATCGGTTGCCCGTCCATGCCCACCATCACAGTATTGTAGTCGGTCGTGTCAACTCCATGAACTAAGACAGCATTGGGATCCAAGTCAGAACCATCTGTTGTGTTGTACTGCAGATTTGGGATGAAAAACGGAGGCGAAATATCGCTAATAAAGCTTGTCCAAGCCGAGAATCGTGGAGCGCTATCGCACATCAATCGATTGTCTTGCTCGTACTGCACCCGGCGCGCATCGATGATTTTACTGAAATCGATAATGTGCATGCTGAGGCCCTGAGTCTTGATGTCGTTTTTGGGGAATAGACCGGTAATCCAGACGCAGTTCGGTCGGTAGGATGCTGTGTTAGCTGTACTTCCGACCATAGTTTCGGACCAATGCCATTGCATTCCGCATGATACTCCGGCGTCACCCATCCATCCGAAAGAGGTGTCGTCATTGGGATTCTTCATCCCGATCGCTGAGATACAAAGCGCATTCGTCCCGAAATCCGCATACACAGCAATATACTCGGACTGAACACCCTGAACATGTTTACCGTTCTTGATAGAGATTGAGTTTGTCGAGCCGGCTGCTCATGACCCGTGTGCATTTCTGTTGGCGGTGCCGACTAGACGTCCATCTATACTGAAGACTTTTATGGTGGGAACGTTTCCAGCTAGATTGTAGGGATCATTCTGAGTGCTGTCGGCGGTCTGGCCAACTGCGACGGTGACTTCGGTTACGGTAGAGGTTGGTTGGGTGATGAAGGAGGCGGTGAATGAGGCAAGACTGAGGGCGCCGAAGAGGCCGGAGACGATGTTAAAGGCGCCGACGACGGCCATAGCTTTTATTCTAAGTGAGAGAACGAAGGGACTCAAAGCGGGAATTAGAAGGAACAGAAAAGCGCTGAGAAGAGCACGGTAGAGTGAACGGCTTTTGGAGCAATAAAAGGATGGTTGAGAACGATAATGCTGGCTGAGAAGGAAGACAAACGGCTCCTTTTACCTGCTATTTATCTCCCAGAAGGCCTCTCAAGATGGAAGCAATCTGTCCTGTAAACAAGAACAACACACAGCCGGCGATAAACTCCAATCTGTGACCCATGGCTGCTTGCTTTGGAACAGCGCCTATATAGAGGAGGATCTCGTCTCACTCGTGCCATCAGAAAGGCACGGAGCAACGCGAACGTGCCGTAGAGGATCCAGGAGGATCAATAGGAGGCAGTGAAAAAACCTGGAGAAATGTTTCGAGTTTGATGAACTGTGTTGAAAACTTGGTAAGAAACAATCCTCCGAATAGACAAATACCATGCTATCAATATTTCCTAACTAAGCACGTGGCCTAGCGGTTAAAGTTGGTCGTACCTTTTCGCACGAGTGTAAATATGACCGTTAGTACGTGCTACACCGTGTTATATTATCCGACAGCAGCTCAGCCACCGTATTTTGACAAGAACCTACGCCTCCATTAAGATAAAACAGCGTTGATAAGGCAGAGTTTACGCCTCCGTCAAGATAAAACAGCTTTGACAAGGAAGAGTCCACGCCTCCATCAAAGAAAAATAGCTTCCACTAATCATGATCAATCAATTAGCAGCTGTACCTGAGAGAGTGAAACGGATTCCCCTATGAAATTCTATCGTGAGCCGTATGTAGGCATTCTTTTCAAGAGCAAGTAACAGGTTGGTGTTTCGACAAGTGTGGCTCTGGCAAACCGTCGTGGCCACGCCTCATTCCTTGGGCGCTACAGGAAATACCACTCATGAGCGTCTCTAAGGCCAGATTGGCTCTTCAACCACGTATATTTAAACAGTTACGATTTCGCCATTGCATTATTGCTCTTCAGAACCAACTCTTCGAGCGCAGGAGCCTATCCAGACTTTCACTTCGGACTATCCGTCGTTATTATCGCTTGCGAACTGCTGCATCTTTCATTTAATATACTTTTATCTCGATTGAAAATATCTTACAATTCATTCGACCGAAGTCTTTCATAAAAGTCATTCACAATGAGACTCCTCGCCCTGGCCCTTTTGCTTGGGGTTATCCCCTCCGCCAGGCTTATCACGGACGCAATTCCTGTCCCTCTCAAAGATACTTCGCTGCAGCCTGGTCTGTGTTCGGGTCCAAAATGTGAAGGTAACTCACTGGTTTCCTCTCCATGTCATTGTGGCTAAGACAAATTGGTATCTCAGACGCGCGATATAACCTCCCGAGAGCGCCACCAGCCCCCGAAGTCCCTGCTGAAGTGACGCCGGGAAGACCACCCATTGAGGATCCTGACTCTGCACCGGC